GGATGGCGGGATCTGGAAGCCCTGGGTCCAAAAACTCAAGACGGCCAAGGGCCAAACCCAAAGCAGCTGCGGATAGCGCAGGATATGACCTTCTCCTCAAAAGCAAAGCGCCGCGAAAGGGAAGAAGCTCCCTGTAGGACCACGAAACGCGTGAGGGGTCTCAAAATACGCGGTGGACCTGATGCGATACCCTGCCAGTGAAGCATTTGGTGGAACTCCATGCTGGGCCACGAAACGTGTGAGGGGTGTGCCGACATGGGCGGGGGGACCGCCGATAGCTTACCAGGGAAGCATTCGGTGGAACTCCCTGTGGAACCACGAACCGCGTGAGGGGTCTACCGAACTGGGCAGAGGAATGCTATGCAACACCATGCCGCTGAGGCTGTCGGTGAAGCTCCCCGAGGGGCCGCGAAACGTGTGAGCGGTGTGGCGAAATGGGCGGGGAGACGCTATGCCACACCAGGCCACTGAGGACTTCGGTTGAGCTCCCTGTGAAGCCACGAAACGTAAAGGGGTGTGGCGAAATTGGCGAGGGGGCCTCCCTGCAACTGGGGCCTTCCGTGGAGCCCGATGCGGGGCCACGAAACGTGTGAGGGGTGTGCCGAAATCGGGGGAGGGGGGGGGAAGCTGTGCAACACCATGCCTCTTAGGACTTCGGGGAGCCCCCTGCGGGGGCATGAAACGCATGAGGGGTCTGCCGAAATGGGCGGGGGGATGCTATGCAACACCATGCCACTGAGGTCTTCGATGGAGATCTCTGCCAGGCCACGAACCACATGACGGGTGTACCGAAATGGGCGGGGGGGCTTCTGATGCAACACCATGCCGCTGAGGTCTTCGGTAGAGCTCGCTGTGAGGACACAAACGTTTGAGGGATGTGCCGAAATGGGCGTGGGGATACAATGCAACACCATCCCACTGAGGCCGTCGGTGGAGCTCCCTGTGGGGCCACGAAACGTAGGAAGGGTGTGGCGAAATTGGCGAGGGGACCGCATGCGATTCCCTGCAACTGGGGACTTCCGTGGAGCCGGATGCGGGGCCACGAAACGTGTGAGGGGTGTGCCGAAATCGGGGGGGGGGGGGGGGGAAGCTGTGCAACACCATACCACTTAGGACTTCGGGGAGCCCCCTGCGGGGGCATGAAACGCACGAGGGGTCTGCCGAAATGGGCGGGGGGATGCTATGCAACACCATGCCACTGAGGTCTTCGGTGGAGCTCTCTGCCAGGCCACGAACCACATGACGGGTGTACCGAAATGGGCGGGGGGGGCTTCTGATGCAACACCATGCCACTGAGGTCTTCGGTAGAGCTCGCTGTGAGGACACGAAACGTTTGAGGCGTGTGCCGAAATTGGCGTGGGGACGCAATGCAACACCATCCCACTGAGGCCGTCGGTGGAGCTCCTTGTGGGGCCACGAAACGGATGAGAGTGTGCCGAAATGGGCGGGGGGGCGCTATGGAACACCATGGTATTGAAGCTGTCGGTGGACATCCCTGCGGGGCCACCACCCGCGTGATGGGTCGGTGCAGACGAAACGGGAATGCAGTCGCGCCGGGATTAGAGAAAAGCGGAGATGCCCGCAAAAGCGGGAGTATTAGACTGCGGCCATCTTCCCTCCTCCCTCCTCCCTCCCCCAGACGTGTACGGGTGTGTGCGTGCGACAATTAACCTCGAGTCGAGTTTTCTCCTCGGTTCTCTGGCCGCTGCATGTTTCGCCTGGATGTGAAATTCCCTTCACACCACCAATCGCTGCATTTGACAGTGTGCACGGGCTGCGCACTGTGCCCTCGACAATGCTCGATCGCAATTGGCACTTCCATGTGCCGTCTGCGCCTGAAGATCCTTTGCGCTGGTTTCAAAGTGTGTATGTGGTATGTGGTGTGTTTTGTGTGTTGTGGGTTGTGTGCTGTGTGCTGTGTGCTGTGTGGTGTGTGGTGTGTGGTGTGTGGTGTGTGTGTGTGTGTTGTGTTGTGTATTGTGTGTTGTGTGTTGTGAGTTGTGTGATGTGTGTTGTGTGTGTTGTGTGTTGTGTGTTGTGTGTTGTGTGTTGTGCGTTGTTTGTTGTGTTGTTCGTTTTGTGCTGTGTGTTGTGTGTAATGTGTTGTGTGTTGTGCGTTGTGCGTTGTGTGGTGTGGTGTGTGTGTGTTGTGTGTTGTGTGTTGTGTGTTGTGTGTTGTGTGTTGTGTGTTGTGTGTTGTGTGCATGTGTGCATGTGTGTTGTGTGTTGTGTGGGGTGTGGGGTGTGGGGTGTGGGGTGTGGGGTGTGGGGTGTGGGGTGTGGGGTGCGGGGTGTGGGGTGTGGGGTGTGGGGTGTAGGGTGCGGGGTGCGGGGTGTGGGGTGTGGGGTGTGGGATGTGGTATGTGGAGTGTGGGGTGTGGGGTGTGTTGTGTGCAGTGTGTTGTGTGTTGTGTTGACCGCGCCCCCTGCTCCAGTCCATGGCGTACCTTGTCCTGTGCAAGATATTCGGCACCGCCTGTTTTCTGAGCCCTCCGGCCGCCTGAGGCCCCGCCCGCCCGCGCTTAGCTCTTGACCGGAAGGGGCCCGCTCCCGACCCGCAGACCAAAAAAGTTGTGTGTTGTATGTTGTGTGTTGTGTGTTGTGTGTTGAGTGTGTTGTGTGTTGTGTGTTGTGTGTTGTGTGTGCTGTGGTTTGTGTGTTGTGTGTTGTGTGTTGTGTGTTGTGAGTGTGTTGTGTGTGCATGTTGTGTGTTGTGCGTGTTGTGTACATGTTGTGTGTTGTGTGTGTTGTGCCTTGTGTGTATTGTGTGTGTTGTGTGTGCGCGTGCGTGAGTGTGTGTGCGTGCGTGCGTGCATGTGTGTTGTGTGTTGTGTGTTGTGTGTTGTGTGTATGTGTGTTGTGTGCATGTGTGTATGTGCATGTGTATGTGTAGTGTATGTGTATGTGTATCTGTGTTTGTGTGAGTTGTGTGTGCTGTGTGTGTTGTGTTGCGTGTTGTGTGTTGTGTGTTGTGTGTCTGTTTGTGTGTTGCGTGGGTTGTGTGTTGTGTGTTGTGTGTTGTGTGTGTGCGTGTTGTGTGCTGTGTGTGTGTTGTGGGTTGTGTGTTGTGTGTTGTGTGTTTGTGTGTTGTGTGTTGTGTTGTGTGTTGTGTGTTGTGTGCGTGCGGTTCCTATCACCGAACCAGTCCTCGGCTATTCCAGCGTTGCCCCACCAGGGCCGCAACACCGTGGGCGCCACCTTGTCTGCTGCCTCTTCCCCTCCTGCCCATCCTGCCCGCCCTAGGCCAGAGGCCTCAACTCATCGCAAACAGCGCAAGCAGAGTGAGGACGCGCGGGTGCTCTGACGTCTCGCAGCGATGGCCCTGACCATGTGTCATGCCTCTCCGCGCTAGTCTGTGCTACCGTCACATGGATGCCCCCTCCGATTCAGCAGGGGTGGTCTCAATGGCTGAGCCCAAGCGAAACTTGTTACGAAGCGCCTCAGGCTTTCTGGAACGACAGCACGTACGGAAGACAATACACTGACCTTGTTCGCGCCTGCCCGTTTTGTGTTTACCACATCCCCACTAGCCTCCCTCCGCAAAGCTCTCCTGCTTGTAGGGTCGGTAAGGGCGCCAAGACCAAGCAGTGTGGCATGCGCTGCTGAGCAGGGAAGCGTTCAGACCAGCAGGGGAGACAAGCCTAGAAGCAAGGCAGGAGCAGTTGAGGAGAGTTTGGACAAGGGACCTCCCGCGCCGTCGGCCCTGTGCTCACAAGCCGTCCCGTGCCGCCGGCGCCGGGCTCACCATGGTCGTACGGCCATCTGCGCCCTTCGAGACCGCGTCCGGCCCCAGGGCGTGGAGCAGGAAGTCCTGGGGGAGGGGCGGGGAAGGGGAGGACCGAGGTCCCCAGGCCTCTGCAATCTCACGCATCTCTGTTTCCATCCCAGTGCCCTTCCTCCATGTCGGCCTTTGGGGGACCCTGCGGGCTCCGGGACAGGCAAAGCCTACACGGGCACCACGGCCAGAAGCGGCGGCGCTGCACGAGCAGACGCAGCGACTGAAACCCAGGTGCGGCACGAGCATGGCACGGCACGCTACGGCACGGCACGTGCCACCCGTTACCCCGCACAGCACGCGCGCGGCACGGCACGCGGGCACACGGCACGGGGGCACGGCACCGCGCGCGCGGCACCGCACGCGGGCACGGCACGGCACGTGCTGTCGCACTCTGAGGGTCGGGCACGGCACACGCGCGCGGCACGGTACGCGCGCACGGCACGGCACGGCGCAGCGCATGTCTTCGCATTCTGGGGCACGTGCATGGCCGCGCACGGCACGGTACGCGGGGGCACCGCACAGGTCCCAGGAGGGCCCCAAGAGGCCCCCAACAGGCCTCCTCCTCCTTCCCCTCCTCGTCCTCGCCTCCTCACTCTCCCTGTACTCCTCCTCCTCCTCCTCTCTCTTCCTTTCCTCGCGCTCCCCCGAATGGTCTCCACAGTGGCTGGGGGAACACTTAGTGCAATAGCTCTGCCAGATGTTGGCCCATCGTGTGGCCACCTAGGCGTTTCCAAACGGCAAGGGGCGGCGGTGATTCGCCGAAGACGTCTTCGATAGCTTGTCCTCGTCGCGCCACCAGCGGCATCGGCAGGGCGGACGGGGCGCTTCTTGAGGCTTCCTCACAGCTGACTGCCCTGAGACTTGAAGCTTCCAGCGGCTGCGCGGACAGAAGCAAGGCCATTGTCACAATGTGGCGTTAGCCCTGGCGCCGCGCACCTTCGTCATAAAAGTTCACATCGCCCATGCGGATGAAAGGCGCTCCGTCTTCCACATGTGGCGATCGTCTTGGCGCCGCAGTCTGTCGTCTTCTTCAAGTTGTGGCTCTCGCCTCAGAGCAGCGCACATTCGTCTAGAGAGGTTGCAACAGCCACGCAGACGGAGTGCGGCTCATGTTCAAAGAAGGGCTCGCGATCGAGACCTCCTCAGATGTTTTACAGAACGTTGAGCTGCGCAACGGCTGCACGTATACAGAACTGCTCCATTTTTTATGTAGGCTCTCCCT